CCCGGGCATTTTGACTAGAGACCGGCCCACCAGGAATTATAGGAAAATCCATAAAGGCTTTGAATTAAAACAAATGCTGTTGTGACAGTGATGTACACCGTCTTGTTGGTATATGTATGATTTCTATATGTTGTACATCAGATAAAAACTTTGGTTGTAAGATTTAGATAATTATTTATTAAAAGCTGGACATTTTAAATGAGAATAAGAAAGATGCTCTACAACTACAGTTAATGCTCTACCTGGCCCCCTGGCAAAACTTTGCTAGATCCGCCCCTGCACAGTTACCAGCTGTCAGCTAAGTAGAAAACGATCCTGGTCTAGAAAGTAATATTAAATAAATTCAACAGATTAAAACAACAGATTATCAAGCTTAAACGTGCTGCTGTTGTTCAGCCGCTGGTTTCCTCTTTCTGGCGCGAAGTGGGTGATAAACAAGCAAGAGAGACAGACTCGTGACAGAAAAGCCGATCAGCTGATCATTGATCACTTTCATGATTGAAGTAGAAGCAGGAGTGGGAGGGATGAGCGTAGGGAAGGTTTTATGGCTTAAAATATCTAAAAATATATTTTAGAAAAGATATGGTTTCCATTTCATTGATTAGTACCTAATGTGGTGGGTCCCAATACTGTATTTAGAAAACAACAAACAACCCTTTAAGGTAATAAAACATCATTGAGCTAACAGCTTAGTTAGGTTCCAGACTAAAGTCAGTTTCTTTGACTTATACCAAGTGAAGGTTTAATGTTACATGTTAAGAGAAAAGAGATGCATTCATGCTGATTGGACTTTTAATTCTTTCTGTGCTTCTAAAAAGGAAAAAAAAAACCCTTTAACCTCTGATTAGTATCCTACATGAGTCATATTCATTTTAATAATATAAAAGCAATAATAATTTTACATACCTATTCTATCCAACTTTAACTTTGGTTTCCAGATGGTCTCCAGCAGTGTGAGCTGCTCTTCATCAGTCCAGACGATGATGGCTTCAGCCTCCTGCTTCAGTCCAAGCTGCTCTCCCTCCTGACTGCTGCAGAGCTCCTCCTGTTCCTCTGTAATCTGTGGAGGCTCTGGGTCCTCCTGGTTACAGACCTGCTGCTCATCCAGACCCTCCTCTTCCTCACAGTCATGTTGTTGTGGGAGGTCTTGAGGAGAAAAGAAACACAATAAAAAGGTCATTAATGTGAAAAAATTATTTGTAAAAAGCACTTTGTGCATTTGGCAGCCATCCTAAAAGGTTGCCCCCTTTAGTGGCCTCCACAGGAGATCATCTACCACACTATCTCTAGCACGCTCCTCTTTCACACTAACTCTCTGCATGTCCTCCTTCACCACAGCCATGAACCACCTCTGTGGCCTTTCCTCCTCTCTTACTGCCTCCTAACATGTCATCTCCCTCTCTGATTCTTTTGTCTCTGGCCAACAGTAACACAGTTTCCACCAACACCTTGTTGGCCAAAAGGACTTAAGGCTGTCGTTAACTTGGGCCCTGATCGATCCAGTACGGAGGTCAAATTCTTAATTATCCACATTTGGTGAAGATTTTACACCAGATATCCTTCATGACAAACCCCCAAAGGGATTTTGTTTAAAGCAGTTATATTAAGAAAAGGGCTGTGAATCTACCGAAACACAGGGATGACCATCTCAGCCAGTGTATTCAAGATAGTGGGTA